GAATATAGGTGAACAAGGCAGAGCCTGGGACTGAGTTTTGAGAAACTCTAGTTCTTGGTGAGTGAGTAGAAGAGGCTTCTGCAGAAGTGTGCCGGTGCAAGGAGTCTTTTTAAAGAACCAGTCGTGGTATTGATTCTCTGTATTTGCCTTATATCCCATTTTTTGGTTTCTGCCATGTTCTGCTATCTTAAGTTTTCTTTGGATTTACTGTGTCTATTTCTGACTTCTCAAATTGGATGCTCGCCTTGTGAATATTTTAGGCTTTCTTTTATTAAGAACTGTTTTAGTTGCATCTATAAATGTTGACTTTTTGGTTCTTCCTCTGGACAGATGGAGTCCAAATATAGATAGCTGTTGCTCTGATGATGCTATTCCTGTTGAAAGTACTGTAAAATCATTTTGTAGTCAAACATATACATTTGCAAATCAAACCAGTTTATGACACTATAAAATCTGAGTTTTCAAAAATGAGAAGTTTTCATAAAAACAGTGGTTGGCATCCAGCAAAATAAGTTGGATGCAATTTGTTGTCTCACTCGCAATAACCAAGGGTTTGGGCTGAAAGTATGTAGTCAAATTATTATTAACAAAAGCATTGCATTCAAATTTCTATGTTTTCCCCCCAAACCTCACAAATAGACGCTCTCCCTGTTCTCCACTGCTTTGAGAATTGCTGCTGTGTGGAGGTCACTGATGGAAATGCCTTACACATGTGTCTGATATAGAAGCAAAAACAAAGTCATGGAAACAAGTAATATATGTAGTCTTCTCAGATTTGTCACCTGGAATTTAAAGATCGTCCTCACTGGTAACAAATGGTCTCAATGATTGATGCGACATCCTTCATGTCAACTTATTTGTTTTTCATTTTTCTTCTTAAGAATTCATTCCTGTGCCTTGCTTAGTCCTTCTCCAATTTTGTGTTTCATGCTATTCCCAGCACTTTGTATTAAAAATCCCTAGTCTTCCTCGTGAGAAATATTAGAAATGCACCGTGTGCTAATTGCAGGCTTACATAAAATGTTTTTAATTGCCTTTTTTTTTCATGGCAGGCATTTTAACCCCATTTTAAATAAATGATTTCATTAAAGTTCCCAGAAATAACATTGGAATGAGGATGGGAATAGACTCCTCATCAGGACAGGATCTGATGCATGTTCCACTTCAGCCTCTTCTCCATTCCCTGTGGTTACCTGTAGAAAGGAATCCTATTGAAAGCAAACAACAGTAATTCTGGTAACCTTAACACCTAATCCCCAGGAAGCAATGTTCCTAAAATATGGTCTACACTGATTTTTACTTTGGGAAGTTCTCTCTAGATTGGGTACAATTTGTTATGGATTAGCGTAGAACTCTGTTTAGGATTTGTAATATGCTTTTAACAAGTTTTTATTTTGATTTTAAGGGAAAAAATGAGCCTCTGCTTAGGGCATAGTGCAATTTATGGGCTGTGATAATGAAAATTTAAATCAATATACTTAGTGCTAACAGATTTTATAATGTGGATCACTTCCATCTTCGGTTTGAGAATGAATTTCCTTCTGCCATGATTGAAGTGAGGTTTTAACTCCCCTTTCTTCTCTTGGCATGTCCTTCCCCCTACGGTTGGCTAAGAGGACTTCTTTGCATGTAAAATATTTTAAGTACTGAGGTCTTCTAATTTAGTTTTACTTTCTTTCTGGAAAGCAGATCGAAGATTGCTTCCAGATGTTCTGTGTTAACAAATGTAGATTTTCCAGCAACAGGACGCCTATCTAAAATGCCTGAATTGATTTTTTTAAAAAAATTAATGAAATTTCATTTTCCCCGTGAAAATATTTGTTTTGGAAACTGTATTTGTTGCACAGGGAGTGAGTAACTTCAGAAGTGAGTTCTTATGTAGGACTCCGTTTGCCTGGGAATTAGCCAATTCTCTGACTTGCCGTTGGCCCGTGTTGCCTTTCTAGAACATTCCTAATGAGTTGAATGCTGTCACAGGTAACTTTGACTAAACAAAACACCAAAGTTTATAAATGATTTATCCTTTAAAATATACGTAAGTTAGAGAGAATTAAAAGGCACACCTATAATACCATCATTCAGTTTCTTGCTTTCAAGAAGACCAGGAAAAAGGAGTGTTTAAACTTAACCTCCCCTTTTAACTCTCTGATACTGCCTGTGATGAGTAAACTTCTGATGGACCAACCAGGAAGGGTTGTGATTCTCGGGAAGTTACTTTGTGCTTTACTTGTCCTCAGAGTTTTGTTTGTTGAAATCTGAGCACACCTACCACAGTGGTTGTGCGTGAGAATATAATTTATTATGTGCTGTGTCTCCCTCCCACTTCAAAACAAACAAAACACAGATAAAAATCACTGCTTTCAAAATGCTGTCAGAGTTTAATTAAGCAAAGTCAAGCTCCTTGCTTTGAGTAGTGATGGAAGGTTTGCTAACATTTCCCATTTTCTGTAGAAAGGACCCCTGAAAAAGGCAAGAGAAGGCAAGGCTAGCTTCTCACCTGGTCACATTGCTACAGTTTAGAGGGATCAGGGCCGCTTTGCAGCTGGGTTCTCAGTGTCCTCATTGTTTGCTACTTTTCTCTGCCCTTCCTCCTAGCCCCCTAAGGGCCCAGAGAATGACCGCTGCCTCGCTTAGCTTTGCAATCAACCACAAGTGATGAAGGTCCTGATTAATAGTGTTTCATGCTCTTTCTCAGACAAGGAGTATTGGCTCCCTAATGAAAAGCAAGGAAATGAACTCAAGGCTTGACATGGACAGAGGCATTATTACCCTGGCCCAGCAAATCCGACACAGTTGTTGCTATCATCATCAACAACAACAACAACAAAACTTCAAGCAAATGTGCCGTGAAAACGCTTACCTAATCGTAGCAGGTTTGGGTTTCCTCTGGTTCAAGTTTTCTTGCCTCTTTGATAATCAAACGATCTGAAGAAAGGCATAGAATTTCAGGGGAGAATCTGCATGACAGACTCACAATAAGGCTATTCACAAGGACTCTTTTATTAGCTTACACAGTATCTGCATCATTCTTAGTCTCTGGCTTTACTACAAGGCTCCATTTAAACTTAACCCAACTTGCAGACTTAACTGATCCAGGAATTACTCAATACAACCAGCCAGCTACTGTAGCTTTTTTTCCACCTTGTGATAAGGGGGTTTAATACAATGGGCTTTACAGTTCTTAAATGACTCCATTTCTCCCCCCCCCCCCCGTCTTTGAGATGTGGCGCGTATATGACCTTTTGTTCTTAATAAAATTTCACATGGTTTGATTATATTTTTAAAAAGTATAAACAAACACAATGTTGACTCCCTACTCTCCGAGTAAAACTTTTTGAATCTTGTAGATGATACAGAAAATGGAATTCAGGTCATAATATTTACACAGCAGATTTCAACATACTATCAGATTTCATTATTAACCATTTGATACTATTAAACTTGAAAACATTTTCTTTATCTTTGAGGGGTTCTCAAATAATTCTCATATAATTACTAGTGGACACTTCTGGTTGTCTGCTGGTGTTTATACCATTTCTGCTGCCTCGAGGCCACTGCACTAATCAGGGCATCCTTGGTTGGCCCCTGAGTCTCTGGGGGAGGAGGGGAGGACAGAGCTCTGACGTCGGACTGCACAGATTCCTGAGGCTGTGCTTGGTAGCGTGCCATCCTGCGTACAGAAGACCTACACCCCAGAAGAGTGGGTCTCAAACTTTAATAGGAACATAAATCATTGGAATGTTTGATAAAAATGCAGGTATCAGGAACGCACCCTCGTAAGGGCCTGAGAATTTGCATTTTTAACAAGCACCCAGGGGCGCCTGGGTGGCTCAGTCGGTTAAGTGTCGGACTTCAGCTCAGATCATAATCTCACGGTTCGTGGGTTCGAGCCCCGCATTGGGCTCTGTGCTGACAGGTAGCTCAGAGCCTGGAGTCTGTTTCAGATTCTGTATCTCCCTCTCTCTGACCCTCGCCTGCTCACGCTGTCTCTCTCTCTCTCTCTGAAATAAATAAAAAACATTAAAAATTTAAAAACAAAAACAAGCACCCAGTTTATTCTGATGCTCATGGTTACTGGACCATCACTGAGACCTTTATCCTATAAATTCTCCAGGGAACCTTGGGAGTTTAGGTCGCCTCGCCTACAGGCCTATAGCCTCAGGGTAAGCTGGGGCCCCTCTTGGGTAGGAGTGAGCCCTGTGTCATTTCTCAGAGGAGTTGGTGGCAGGAGGGAATGAGTTGGAGCGGCACCCTTCTCCCCTTCCGCTTCCCTCCGCAGCAGGGCAGGATCCACCGCCCGTCCCCGCGTTCCCAGGCCTCACCTGCGGGCCGAGCTTAGGTGTTGGAGAACATCCTCTCACTCCCCCCGGGCTCTGTGCATGATTAGGGTTTCAGAAAGGTGTAATCAGCAGCACTTAATCCACATTTGCCCCTCTGTCCTCCTCCCACGCCCCATTAAAGTAATTTTACAGTTTTGGAAACAAAGGTCCTTTTCAAAAAGATTTCCAATTAGGATTGGATTCTCAGGGAGCGTTTTGGGAATTATGGATGTAACATGTTTGTTCACTTCATGGAGATAAGATTTTTGCTTGAAGATAAGTTGATCCGATGGTCAGAACAGATAGGGACAAGCCGCCGTGATGACTGCTGTGGATGTTTGCAGCGCCTCGCGGGAGGCCCACCCCCGTGGACCCGGCAGACTTTTTTATTATGTGAATTTTCAGTGGGCAGGCTTTCTTATGGGGAGAATTTTCAGACCTAGGCAAGACTAGAAAACAGGGCTCCCATACGTACGTCCCCCAGTTTCCCGAGTTACGGAGATTTGCCATGTTCTTCGGCAGCTTTTGGTTTTGCTCTTAAAGACTGCTTGCTGATCGTTTTCTAATTGGTTCGTGGGGTTTTTTTTGTTTTTTTTTTTTAAGGAATGAATCCGACACGAGCCGCTTTGCTTGGGGCCTGAGTGCATATCTTCCATAGTCATTTGAATATGTGCTTTTCAGGAATGCGTTCCAGAAAACCTGGAGCTGAAGAAGAAGGTTTTTGCTCAGTTGGATCAAATCATCGACGACAAGGTGGTCCTCAGCAGCTCCAGCTCCTGCCTCCTGCCGTCGCAGCTGTTCGCCGGCCTGGCGCACGTGCGGCAGTGCATCGTGGCCCATCCCGTGAGTGCCTGTAACGCCCGCCTCGGTCGCCTCGCGCCCTGGTTTCCAGGAGCAGTGCACGCTGGCGGATCCGCTAGTATTTTTTAACTGCTTTATTGAGGTATAATTCACACGCTGCAATTCAAACTGTATACGTTAATGTGCTTCAGTGTACTTAGAGAGTCGTACAATACCAGCAGTTTTAAAAATAATTTTATCCAAAAATGTCTTGAATTGTATGCGTGTACCTAACGCATGAAGGGATAGAGTGAACAATACTTACCCACTTTCACCCTCACCTACGTAACTCACTGCCTAGCTGGAGAGAGAGAGAGAGAGAGAGAGAGAGAACTAAACAAGTAATCCCGCTGCCGGGGAATTCTCTTAAAAACGTGTACATTTTTAGTAGGATTCTGTAGCCATTTCACCGGACTGTGCAGTTTCCTCAACACAATTCAGGGTAGGAGGGTTTTACTGAAGCGCGTGCTCTCGGTGCTGCTCCCGAGGCCCCGGTTCCCCAGGCTGCCTTCGGGCCCCCTGCCCGCTTTGCTGCTGCTCCCTCGCCCGCGTCCGGCGTCGTTCCCTGGGCAAAGCCACGCGGCGGGGGTGCGGGCCGAGGCCTGTCCGACAGGGCGTCACAGATTGGGGTGTACGCACCCAGTGGATCTTCTGGAGATGGACGTGTTGTGAGGAAAGGCGGACCAGAGAGGAGAGCCAAGTCGAGCACCAGCTGTGAGCTCGGTGTGACCTCGGAAAACTGGGGACAGCCTGTTGGCACAGAAAAGCGAACTTCGCTCAAGCCCCGTAAATATGAGAGTAGATGACCGTGGCCGCGCCCTCAGCACCCGCAGGCCAGCGGAGGTGAAGGCTGGGAAGCCGGGCCGGGCGAGGCCGGATCCGGGCTGACGAGGGAGGGGAGAGTGCGCGGCTGGGAAGGAAGATAAACGAAGACCCTCGGCCGGGAGCAAGCACGGGGCGCGACGATTTGTGAGGAGGCCCGCCCGGCTGGAAGGGCGCACGAACCTCATGCACTTGGGGAGCGGGACTAAAGGGCCGCGAGGCTTGGGGATGGTGGGGCTTCCAGAACCACGAGCACTAGCTCTGAAGAAGCGGGACTGGCTCGGACACGGGGCAGCCCTGTGAGGCGGTGGAAATGCGGCCTTTGGAGGGTAATCGGAAGGTTCCTTCTGCATTGAAGACGGCTCGGGGCGGGGGTGGGGGCGGGGGCGCCGCTACACAGAATCGGGCCGTGTCCCAAGTGTGAGCCACCAGGGCCGCGGTGAGGCTCCTCCGGGTGCCGCGCTGAGAGCAGTGGGAGCGGGTGGGGAGGAAGGCGCTTGCCCCCCGAGGGGAGGGAGCAGGGAGGTCAGAGACGCCTCCTGGACTCCGCGTGCTGACGGGGGCGGCTCGCAGCGCCAGTCACACGACTGTATGAAGTCCCTGCTGAAGTACCCGGGGAAGTGGCGAGTGGTCCTAAAACACGGAGACTTAGGCCCACAGAACGTGGAAGGAGGCCCGTCCCCTTGGCTACCACTCAGCTACGGAAACCAGCACCAGGAGGGGCCTTAACTGAAGCAGCCAGTTACCAAGTGCCAGGAAACATGACCTGTCTTTGCTTTTATGACATTGACATGTCCCTAAAGAGCCCTCTTAGAAACTGTAAACTGGTTATTAATTACATTGTTAATCTTGCTTGAAAACTTCCAGTTTCTAACCAGCGATTTTACTTCTAAGTCGGGTAAAAAAAAAAAAAAAGGGAAAAGAAAACAACTAAGTCAAATTGTTTAGAAAGTAGCTCCTAAGCCCTTTAACCAGGCTTTTCCCCATGTCTCTTAACTTCAAACTACGCGGCAGAGGAGACCACACCTCATTCACTCTCCGGTCACACCTAACAAGTGTCTCTGGCTAGAGGTTCAGCCACTGGCTGTTGAATGATATTTCTCGTACCATTTCAGGGTTGCTCACTTCCGCTGCTTTAGTCAAAGACAAATAACATAACCAAAGTGAGTTCAGACCTTATTTCAAAATTTATCTCTTCTTTTGTAAATCGTTTTATACCTAAGCCAACATTAATTAAAGCAGATGACATCAGCCAGGTTGGCCGTCTTTGGAATTTTATCCTTTCTTTCTTCTGCGCTGATGCTGCCCACTGATCTGTTGCCCAGATCATTCCGCTGAGCTCAAGGAGACTGGGGAAGAGGCATCTTGAACAATTCAACCTGGGCTGGACAGGCCGTCCCTAAATATTCCAGAACCATTCATGGTCCCTGAGAAGCTCGTTTCCCTTCAGCCCAGAGCACCTGCTCGCTCGCCACCCCCTCAGCGTCCTGCTCCCGTCACCTACGGTTCTTTGCCCAGACAGGAAATAGGATAAGGGAAAAGGAAGCCCCTTCGTGCCTCCAAAAGGCTGTGGCGAAAGTGGCTAGTCAGCGATTGCGAAAGACTGCTGCCTCCACCCTCCACAGAACAGGCAGCCAACGAGTTTCGACATCACATGTTGTCTTTTGGGCAAACACATGTCGTCTCTTTGAGGGGGGCCAGGAGCTCCAGGTCACCTCAGCCCCGGGGGGTGGCGTGGCGGTGGGGGTGGGGTGCGCGGAAGTCCCTACAGGTGGGCGTGCTCTCTCAGCACACAGGTAGTTTGAATGGGATTTTCGAGGGGGCTTCATAGACTAGCGCCCGGAAAGGGACAGGCTCAGGAAGAGGGGTGTTCGTGTGTCCCTGACATTCTTCCTCGCAAATGTTTCTTACGTTGCCTCTCCCCGTCCGCCTCCTCTCCCCGTGGATGTGTGGAGGGGCCCAGGGATGGCCCGCCGGTGGCTGGGAGGTGTGCGCCCACAAGGTTGAGCTGGGGCGCCGTCTCTCCTGGTTCTTAGATCTCTGTCAGCAACCAGTCAAAACAGTTTCAGCCACACTTTACGACCTTACCTCAGCTGGGGACGTGGTGGCCCCAGGGAGCTGGTGGGGCTGCTGCAGCCGCTCAGATGCCCTTGTGCCCGTGTGGACGCCCTATAGACGCGGCCGCCTGGGAAGGACGCGCGGCCGTCCAGGGATTCCGGTGCTGAGTGGAAGCAGTTCCTGAACACACAGCCCCCACGCTGGTTACCAGTCAGCCTGGAATGAAACCGGGCACTACGCTAAGGTGCCAGAATGTTCCCCGGTGAGCACCCTGCCTGCGCTTGGCACCCTTTCTGACTCACTCTCCCTCCTGACCCCCGAAACCATTTGCCCTCGTGTTGGTGGTCATTTGGATGTTCGTCTCCGAGTCTGCTGTTTCTAGAGAGCGTGTGCGCGTGCGCGTGCAGGCCGTGCCTGTTTCAGGTTGTCGGCCGCTGCCCGTCAGGGGCCGATCCCGCCTCCTCTGCCTGTGGAGGGTTCAGGAAGGGGGGGGGGGACTTTACTATGAAAATTATCAGAATAGTGCGGGATTCAGTCCTCTCAGCCTGCTGTGGGCACCCGCTTCTTCGTTTTCCCGGCCCCTCCCGGGGTAAGGAAGAGGGCGCGCCTGCTCAGGAGGCCCTCCCCGGGGCTGTGCGCAGGCGCCGCGCGGGACCGCGCTGCCTTCTGGGAGGAGGGACAGTCGGCCTCTCCGCCCAGTGTAACGCTCTTTCATGTGCTGCGGAGGAGTAAACGGAGCTCCGTGCTCGGCGCGCTGGGCTGTCTCCGCGATCGCCGCCCCCCGGGCTCCGGGCCAGATCCCGGGCGGGCTCCCCACGGGCCGGGTGGAGAATGCGCCCCTTGTGCCGTGGCCGCGCCCGAGCTCTCGGGGACGGGGACCTTTAAAGAGGGTGCCGTCCCCCGCCGTTCGTCTTGTTTTTCCCGTTTCTCGAGGGCACGTTCTCGGTGTAGCCCACACACGCCAGTCGCAGAAGGCGCGGGCCCGGCCATCCCCGCGGGAAGAGAATAGCGTTCCAGGGAGCACGGCCGTTCCTGCCTTTGCGAGAGTCGCCGCCTTGCTTCTTCCCTGGCCCCTCCCGTGTGTCCTCCCATCTCTCCACCGGGAGCCCGCACTAGGAATCCGTGTCCTTGTCACAGGATGAGGCGCACGGCAAGACCCCCGCTCCCTCCAGGCCCAGCACCGGGCCCGCGGTAGGGAGCACGGCGCCGACGCCGGGCCCGCGGTAGGGAGCACAAAGAGCTGGATCTTGCGGTTGGGGGTCACTGGGTGCTGGGGAATCAGAGTCCTGCAACGTTTTGAGCTGAAGGCGGTGCAGTCAGCACCCTGTTTTTAATTTTTTAATAAAACTTTAATTGTGGTAGAATACACGCAAGGCAGAACTGTGCAGCCCCGCGGCAGTAAGCGGACTCCCACTGCCGCGCAGCCCTCGCACGGAGCCCCGTCCCCAGAATGGTTTCTGGGGGAACGAAAACTCTTATCTCCATTAAGCAGCAACCGCGGGCCGCGGCACGGCCGCCTCGGTCTCCTTTCCGCCTCCGGGCGTGACAGGCCCCTCCCCGCCTGACAGGGCTCCCCTGGGCAGTGGCAGAGAGGATGAGGCCGGAGAGAGGTCAGGGAGGCCAGGCCGGAGTCCGAGTGCGAGGTGACGGCCTGAGCTAAGTGTGGGTAGTGGGAGTGGCGTGGATGGAGCTGGTAGAATCGCTGACGGGAAGTGGGGCGGTTCGGGGAGAGGAGGCGCCAGGGATACTTCTCACGGTACTAACGTGGGTGTTGGGGCCAAGATGGGGTGCCAGGAAGAGGACCCTGTGGGGGGGGTGGGAGACGTGCATTTAATTCCTGACGGGTCGGCGGTACGCTCGTGGGATGTCCTAGGGGTGCGTCCGGGGCACAGCTGCACATACGGCCTGGAGTGGGAGGTGAGCTCCATGTGAGATCTCGGATGCGGGTGGGGAAGCCCTGGGAGCCCGAGAGTGGGCACAGGGAGGCCAGCGGTGGCAGCTGGGGCACCGCCAGTTAGGGAGAACGTGGGCAGGGGAGCACCTGTGAGGGAAACGTGCTCGAGGAAATGTGCAAGGTGTGCACGCAGATGCTTTTCACCTGGGGTCTCAGTCTGTGTTTGCGCCACCTGTGAGCCCCGCAGCACTGAAAGACCGCAAGCCCTACATCTTTGTTCCAGAGTGAGATAAACTTTAAGACACACATGCTTCCGGTTCTCCTAATTCTGATTTTTGGAAAGGCCAGAGGTCAGACATTTATGAGTTTGATGATTATAGGCAGGAGATAAGTGATTCAGTTGAGGTATTGTGATTCAGGAGACAAGTGAAATCAGTTGATTTATAATTTATTTATCTGACAACAGATGCCATCCTCTCTTGCTTTCCAAGAGGCCCGAGAGAGTGACCAGGGCCGGCCGAGAGCACAGGGAGCCCCCGAAGCTAAGCTGTGGGTAGACCAGAGTCCTCTCCTAAGCAGTGTCCTAGGAGAAGGAAGTTTTTCTTTCCCTTTTCTGTATAAGTCATTTTATTTATTTATTTACTTTAAATTTTTAAAAAAAGGTTTATTTGAGAGAGAGAAAGAGAAATAGCACAAGCAGGGGAAGGGCTGAGAGAGAGGGAGACACAGAATCGGAAGCAGGCTCCAGGCTATGAGTTGTCAGCACAGAGCCCAACATGGGGCTTGAACTCCCAAACTGAGAGATGGTGAGCTGAGCTGAAATTGGATGCTTAACCGACGGAGCCACTCAGGTGCCCCTGAGAAGTCATTTTAAAATGGATGCTTCTTGGAGTGCCTGGTGGCTCAGTCAGTTACACATATGACTCCTGATCTCAGCTCAGGTCTTGATCCACGCTGAGTATGGACGCTACTTTAAAAAAAAAAAAAAAATAAGGATGCTTCTTGTAGTTATTTAGTGATTGTAAGATTCTATCAATTTTCCTCTATCTATTGAGGAAAAATTGTTTAAATGCATCATTCAGGGTACAGTTTACTGCAGAGCATTTGGCTTTTAATGGTGCAGCTAATCAGGTTCTGCTAAGCAGCATTTTCTTTGGACCTACGATAATCCTCTTTGCGACTCTAATACCGTAAACCAAGAAACCCAGAGCAAAGCGTAAACGCTGGGGTAGGCAGGTGTTTCCCTCTGGCCCATTCATCATGGACCAACCCTTCCCGCCATACGTAGGCCAAATCACGACGTCGAGGCTGCGGTAGTGTTCTTGGTGGGATCAACATGGACAAGTTAAGGAAATCCCAAGTTTTGGGAAGATGCTGTCAATAATTTTAACGCTGACACAGTAGAAGATCAAGACCCTGCAGTGAGGATTTTGGAGGCAGCTCTGGAGGTGGCCTGGGGGTGGGCAGAAGCCCATGGAGTCTAGACAGCAGGTAGCTGAGAAGCCCTGAGGGAGACCAGGGGTTTGGAGATGAGCCCTGAATGTATAGGATTGTCACCCGCACCTCCGGATTTCAACCTCATGTGCTGGTTATGATTTTTCAGTAAATAAAACCACAGATTTCTGTGCTCAGCTATTTTCTTTCCCAAACGCTTTGTGGATTACTTTATATTTCAAGTTTCTTGTCTTCAGATGCTGGATCTAAAGTGGCCTTTCCCAAGAGGAATCTGTACCTTCTGCCTGTTCACGACAGGCAAGCAGTCGGCCAGAATGGCACCCCATCTCCTGGGCTGTCTTCTGACTCTTCTCCCCTTCTGTCTCACTCGTAAGGTAAATCCACCGTATTACGTGCCATTGGTTGAGCTGGTCCCACACCCAGAGACGGCCCCTGCGACGGTGGACAGAACCCACGCCCTGATGCAGAAGATCGGACAGTCCCCAGTCAGGGTCCTGAAGGAGATTGACGGCTTTGCCCTGAACCGCCTGCAGTATGCCATCATCAGTGAGGCCTGGCGGCTGGTGGAGGTGCGTGGGACGCCCCCAGCCTCTGGCTGTTGGAGGGGAAGGGGAGCAGCGTGTCCTGCAGTCACATGGGTTGGAGGGCGGGGAGTCAGCGCTCAGTCCTGCCTGTTCTGGGGACTGAGGGCCAGCTCTTCTCTCAGGTTCAGTCAACAGGCAAGGAAAACGAAACGTAATGTAGCAATTCATTGTACGTTTCAGAGACTCCTCTGTTAAAGTAAGTCATTTGATAGTCACACCTGATGATAGACTTCTCTGTTTCCTGCCCTTCCATGTCATTACCACATAAGGATCTCTGTGTGACATACTGCGTTTTCTCACAGAGTCAGGTTTTCTCCTGGTGTTATAATTTTTCAAGAGGAAAAAATTAAATTTTGAGTAAGCTTCTATCCTCTAAAGGAACCCGGTTTCTTTCAAGAGCTTGAGGAAGAAGCAGTGGGTAATCCTTCGACTTGTTAGCGCTATGCTTATCTTAAATATAAATAGGAAATTACACACATGCTTAACCCTGTCCTTTCATTAGGAGATTTTACGTGTGACTTTAAACACCACTTCACTGCGTACATTTGTACGGAGAACCACCTACATTTGTATGCCAGGCAGGACAGGCCTGGAGCAGCCCCAGGACTTGGCAGCGAAGAGTCCAGGGGTCTTGGGCTCCGACTGTCTGTCTTCCATCCACTTGCTGGTTGGTGCGTCCCCAGCTGCTGCGTCCACACAGCTCTGTCCACACTCAGGTTGCAGGAACCCGCTGGAGCGGGGGAGGGCCTGTCCGGGCACAGAGGGCAGCAGGTGGAGCCCGGGCTGACTTTCTGTTCGGGAGTAGGCCCACAGCGCCCGGGGTGGGGGTGGGGGGGCTGCCAGCCCCAGCCTGTGGCGGGAACCAGGGGGCCGGCCTGTGGGCGCTGTTTTAGGTGCTCGGAGTGCGATGTGTGTGACCCTCCCGCCTCCCGGTTCCCGCATCTGCGCTGTGCCTGTTAGACTCGTCATCTGACCCGACTCAGTGCGCACTTGCCACCCAGTAGGTGCACTTCTGTGTCCTCCTTGGGATTGTCACTGTTGAGTTCGTAGTTTTAACTTCCCAGTAATTGCAGAATGTTTTTGAGTATCAGTAGAATATTTTAAAGACACACTGAACCGAGAGCACTTGCTTGAGCTGTTCTTACGATCTTTCCACTTGTCTAAAACACTTTAATAGACATCAGAAAAGTTCAGTATTACATAAAACACGGAGAGAGGTTTTAAAGAGGTTTACCTCTTTTTGTAAAGTATCTTGGGGCCCAGAGAGATGAAGAAAAGCCCTGAGTCGAATCTGGCTTTGTCCGGTCAGAGGCATGTGCGCCAGCTCAAGGGACAAGCTGGAGGGTCGGGTGTAGTGCACGGCGGTGGGAGTCACCCCACAGAGTTCTCTCCGTGTTGACCGCACGGGGAGCCGCCGTTTGGAAGCCCCCAGTTCAGAGGAGCGGCGGCGGCTTCCAGGGCTGCCCTTGCTGGGTGGATATGGATGCAGGCAGGGCTGGAGGAGCCGTTGAGTTCAGCCGCTCGTACTGCCTCGCTTCGTCCGCCCTCCGTTCTGTCCCGTCTCGGGCGGCCGATGGCGGACCAGGGCCTCCTGTGACTGACTTGCGGAACGCTCTCTCTCACTCGTGGTTCTCGGGGATGACACACCCGAGAATGCCGCGCGTCCCCGCTGTGGGCGGCAGTGGGACTCGGGGAGCCGGCGTCTCCGTCAGACCCCACGTGCCGAAACCCAGCTGGGTAGTTCGTGACACTGAGAAGAGAACGTGTGACCAGAACCTCAAGAATTTTCTCCGGTGAATGTCTGGAAGAGCCGTCACTTTTAAACAATGAAGATGATTTCCAGACAGAATTAAGGCGGGTCTACACACTACAGGCCCCTGTCTCCAGGTTGCGAGTAGGACGACCGGCAGCCCTGAGCCTGCGGATACTTCCGGTGACGGGTGAAGTGTCCCGGATGTGGGTCGGGGCTCGCGGAGGGAACGTCAGGGCGTCGCCTGTACGGTGCCTGTTCTTACCGTTGCTGCCCGCAGACTGCGGTTTCGTCGGCCACCCGGCGCGGGGGGGGGGGGCCCGCTCACCGGCCGTGCATCTACTCCGGCAGTAGTTAACTTCTGAGCACAGAGGAGCCACAGGTGTGGGCCCTAAGCGTGCGCACAGGGGCCCTGCGGGTGAGCACTCCGGGCGTGCGGTGAGAGAAGCCCTCCCGGCCACAGAGCAGCCACGGGATCCTCCCCTGGGCTCTCAGCGTGCACCCCGCAGACACCCAAAAGGCACAGTTTTCCTGCCCCCTCCTCCCACCCCGGGCCACCCTCCTCCTGGGAATCGTGGATCAATATTTCTGCCCATTAGGTGGGGTGGTTGACGGAGTCTTGACTTGATCATATGGATTTCTTGAAAGAAAACCTGTGCTGCCCGTGGTCTGTTTCCACCGAAGATATGAGAGGCAGGCAAGGTGAGCAAACGTCTCCCGAGCCCCACTGTCACTGTGCAAACCTGCACGCACGCGCTGGGCCCCAGTCCGGGCCGGGACCCAGTGACGCCCCTTTGACTCACAACTTCAGAGCCAGTTAAACTTGAATTTAGATTTTAGGGTGTTCCAAGTATACTTCAAAACATTTAAGGGCAACTTTGATATAAAAAAGGGCTGGACCGTGGAAGCGTTAACAGTAAAAAGTGAAGATTTTTATACATTTTAAGTTCAAAAGATGCAAAGGCCTTTCCGAGTTTGTCTTTTGAAGGTGTTCTCTCTCAGGAGTGGGTTTCACTCGTGGGCCAGAGCTCCAGCCTTACTGTAGTGAACACAGCGGGTGGAGATGAGCAAGGCTGCCTGACTCACGGACTCACCATGGCTGCTTTGGTCTCGTTCCTTTCTGCATTCACAGAGCGAGTTGAGATTTGGCAGAGCCTTTTCTCTTTGACCCAAGCGAGGGCTGGCGTGCTCCGGGTATGAAAGCTGTAAGATGACTTGGTGGCAGAGCGCTAAAATGCATTCTGTGGACATTGCCCCTGGGGGGCTGCACCAGCGGGTGGGGCGAGGGATACTGTTCCTTGTTGTCTGTGTGTCAGCAGCTCTGCCCAAGTCAGATCCAAGTGCAAATTTCCAGGGGTCCTACCCACAAGCTGGGGTGTGAGCTGGAGTGGGACAGGCAAGGGGCCTGGCTAGCATGATGGCCTGCATTTCCACTTAGCCATGGCCATGTCCGAATGTGGATGTCAGAACAGCAGAGAGATGCTGTTTCACCACTTGGTAATTTTGTTGATCTGGTAGGTTATGTCGATTGATTTTCCCATGTTGCACTAGCCTTGCATTCCTGGAATCAACACCACTAGCTGTGTAATTCTTTCTAGATGGAATCAACACCACTAGCTGTGTAATTCTTTCTAGATGTTCCTGGGGTCAGTTTGCTCATGTTTTATTGAGGATTTTTTGCATCTAAGTTTAGAAGAAATATTAGTGTGTAGTTTTCATTTCTCTTTCTCTTTTTTACTATATTTGATTTTGATATCAGGATAACACTGCATTAGATATCAAGGTAATAATGTATAATATGATTGGGAAGTTTTCTCTCTTCTATTTTCTGGAAGAGATTATAACATTTTTGTTGATTCTTCTTTAAATGTTTGGTAGAATTCTCCTGTGAAATCATCTGGGCCTGGAGGGCTCTTTTCCAGGAGGTATGTATGTATGTGTGTATGTATTTTACTTCAGAGAGAGAGAGAGAGAGAGAGAGAGAGAGAGAGAGAATTTCAAGCAGGCTTCACACTGAGCCTGGAACTTGATGCAGAACTCGATCTCATGACCCTGGGATCGTGGCCTGAGCTGAAATCAAGAGTTGGATGCTCAACTGACTGAGCCACCCAAGCATCCCTCCAGGAGGTTTTTAATTACAGGTTCAGCTTCTTTATTGGTTATAAGAACCATTCGGGCTGTTTCGTCTTGGTTGAGTTTTAGTGGTTTGTGATTTGTAAGAAATGGTTCCGTTTCTTTTGCGTTGTTGAGTTCACAAGCCTGGAGTTATTGGCAGGGTCTGTGGTGAGAGCCTGGTTTCGCTCCTGATGCGGGGATCTGTGTGTACTCTTGCTTTATCCTCGTCGGTCTTGGCAGAACTTTATCAGTTTTACTGATTATTTTGAAGAAGCAACTTTTTGATTCATTGATTTTTCTTTATAGTGTTCCTGTTTTCAGTTTCATTCACCACCTGGAGGGCATCTTTTAATACTCACAGCCAAGCATGGAAGAGAAATTCTAAGAGGGGGGCAGAAAAAAGTAAGGGAGGCTCCTGTGTAGGCCTGTCCATTTGAGAAGGGGGAGAAAAACTGCCGGCGTCATTTCCAGGTCAGAAAGAGAAAGTGCTGGGAATAAGATACATCTTGTCTTCACGGCAGCCTCAACCATGACACACTGTCCTGTCATCGCCTGTGATTTTGTCTGTCCCCACACAGCCATGTGTGGGAGCAAGATGGGCAGCCAGGTATCTAAGGGAACAAGGCTACTGGGTTCTTTTGTATTGTCTCATAGACGCTCACCCCATCGTTTCCCTTCCAGTTTGGCTTCAGAATTGGCCCTTGTAGGATCGGAAATGCCAGATGGACAAGTCCGGCTACAGTCTAGTAGCCCAAAATTAGGTCACCGGGAACAAGATCCTTTTGGCCAAGAATGAGATTTCAAGTCAATAGTCTTAACCTAATGATCACAATAAAGGAAGTTGTGTTGTGATAATAAACCCTCGCCCAGACAATAGCTGAGCTTGTCTCAGCCCATAAATTCTTGCCCCATCCAGGAGGGGTAGGTGGAGGTGAGCTGGAATGAATCATGAACCATCAGCAGGTTCTCAGCCTGTTGGAATGTGTTGGTAATGAGCTTTGGAAATTGCTTATCTCAGGTTTTATTCACCCTTCTGAGCAATGTAATCGGGAGGGTGAATTTCTGTTCCTTATGCCTCGAGCTGCAAAAACTCAGTGCTTGTTCTTGTCAGGCAGGTGTA